GGTTAGTCTGGCCTCTGATTGATACATGGCTAGATTTACCTTGCTGCACCTTCTCTGTGAGTGACTGCAGTGTGAGCTAGAGGAATGAGTCCCCTAGACGGGGGAGGGGGGGAAGCAAAGGAGTACAAAACAAATCTGGTCTATTTCTTGTTTTGATCCACTCCATCTATCTTTTACATCTTTGGCTGGCAGCAGACGGTGCAGAAGGACTGCATGCCATCCACATCTCATGGCTGCCCGGCAGAAGATGATGCAATAGGACTGCTAGCAATCCGTATCGCCTGCCTGCTCACCATAAGACGGTTCAATAGGACTGACTGCAGGACTAAAGAGAATGACCTGGTCAAGTCACTCCAAATTTAGTCCCTGCGCCCATGTCTGTCCAGGCGCTCCTGGCCAACGTGGCCAGGAGCACCTCGGACATGACGAGGACGGCTACCAGTCGTACTGTACCATCTGCTGCCACAAGGCAAGGGGTTGCTGCTACTGTGTAGCAATGCAGTACCACGTCTGCCAGCACCCAGGAGACATAGGGTGACGGTTACCTGAGCGGGCTCCATGCTTGCCATGGTATGGCGTCTGCACAGGTAACTCAGGAAAAAAGGTGCAAAACGATTGTCTGCCCTTGCTTTCACGGAGGGAGGGAGGGAACGGGGGCCTGACGATATGTACCCAGAACCACCCGCGACAATGTTTTAGCCCCATCAAGCATTGGGATCTCAACCCAGAATTCCAATGGGCAGCGGAGACTGTGGGAACTGAGGGATAGCCACCCACAGTGCAATGCTCCGGAAGTCGACTCTAGCCTCGGTACTGTGGAAGCACTCCGCCGAGTTACTGCACTTAATGCACTTAGAGCATTTTCTGTGGGGACACACACACTCGAATATATAAAACCAATTTCTAAAAAACCGACTTCTATAAATTCGACCTGATTTCGTAGTGTAGACATACCCTAAGAGGGGTGGCTCAGCAGCAAGGCTGGAGTCACTGAGGACTCGAGTCCTCAAGGAAGAAGCCCTCGGGGTGTTGCTCAATTCCAGAGTAGGAACCTTGCAACCTAGCCAGACCAGGCAAGGACACTGTGATGGGTCCTGTTGGATTGGTTAAAGACTGAGCCCAGGGAGGGCTGCAGAAAATGACACACCAACTGAGGGTACCATGGTGGGCCCTGTTGGACTCTCTTAGAAGCCTGAGTCCAGGAAGGGCTGCAGGACATTGGGGACATTTTGGACTGTGTACCCCAAAAGGGGTTTGTTTGTTTTGTACATGAACAGCGTGTGACCTGGCTGGAGGGCTGAGTCACCGAAGACCTGCCTGACAAGCACAGAGGCAGACCGAGGGCACTGTGAGCAGAGAAGAAATTGCAGGGATGCACACACTCAACCAGGGGCACTCAGATTACTCTGTTACTGGAGCACACAGAACCTCTGGTATGCAACAGCTGGGGGACCCTGGTATGGGAGTAAGGGGTTGGTTGATATATAGAAACCTTAGTGGGGGACATTGGTGGTGGGGTGAATGGGGGCACACAGAACCCATTGTGTGTGTGTGTGGGGGGGAGATTGGAGGAGTCTGAGAAGTGGGGAAGGAGGAGACACAGAGCCCCTGGCATAAGGAGAGAGGTAGCAACCAGAGTTGCTGTTATGGAGGAAAGAAGGGGGAAACGGGAGGGGTCACAGAACTCTTACCAGTGGTGAGAATGTAGGGAGTCCCTGAAATAGATGAAAATGGGAGGGTGGTACACAAGGAGCTTGTGGGGGCATTGGAAGGATGCAAGAAACTCCTGGTGTTGCAAGCCAAAGCCTGCAGAAGCTATGAAGTATGCATCCCCCCCGATTATAAATTAATTCTATTTAATGCCTAGAATTTTCATGAGGTTGCTGCTTTCGAAGGCAGTTGGCCATCTCTCTATACCCTCAGTGAATTTCCAGTTTTCACATACATATGTTAAGGTCTATCTCTTGTTTGTTTTCTGTGACAGTTGTATAGCTGGGATGTGGGCTGCTAACTGGGACAGGTGAGAAAGATCTATGTGTCTTGGTGTAGGTCTTGTGACTAAGATTCTTGGGTCTTTGACATGCCAGATGTTTGAAGTCTCTGAGTAGTTAATCTTTCCCTGTTAGCAAAGAGGTAGTGCTGGACAGTATGTCTTAGTATATGTCATTTGCAAGGCAAACTTTTGAGTAGGCAAACAGTGGAGCTTCAAAGGGGATGTGATAGCCTTGCTTGCCAGGTACAGTTCTATGCTCAGTACTATGATGGCCAGTGACGGAACAGTGGTTGCGAATCTGCAATGGATGTGGGATGTTTTCTTTTCACCCTGAAAATGGACTTCCTGGGTCTGACGTGTAAATTGATGGCTGTGCTAGAAGAAGATTCTTGGTTTGGAAGGGCAAGTACAGGCACTATGGGGCACCACAGAGAGGCTGGAGGAACTCTTGGAAAACCAGAGTTGGGAATCATTACCACCTCAGATTTAAGGAAGACAAGAACTGGCTACGAAGGAAACACAGGAAATCAGAGATGAGGTTTGGCAGTTCTAACCACCAGCGGTAAGAGGACAAGGCAGCACTCTATACAGTTGGAGGCATACAAGGGTGGGCAGGCTGTGATTCCTCCTGGTCCTCGTCTCTCTGGTAATTCCACATACCTAGAAATTTCCAATAGTCACCAGGTCCTCAGCACTGAAACAACTGAGTGAACAAAGAGGAGTATGGGACCCATCTGTGTGGGGCTGCTCAGCCCAACCCAGGAGAAAATCAAATGTTTTCATAAAGAGATCTCCAGTCCTCCAAGACTATCCTTTTTGGGAATTCTATACTAAGAAGAATGGAAAGAACATTCTGCAGTGGACAGGCAGACTACAGGATGGTGTGCTGCCTTCTCAGAGCCAAGACAAAAGTCATTAACATTGGACAGGCTTCTGAAGTTCAGGATCCACTGGTGTTAGTGCCAACATGCACAATCAACATTGCTTTGCAGGATACCTAACCGATCGTAGATGACTTCAGGAAACTCAGAGTGCAGAAGAACAACATCCAAGTGATCTTGGAGCTCCTTGTGTCGTGAACAAAGGAAGACAGAAGATTCTGGAAGTGAACCACTAGCTAGGTAAGTGATGCTTGCGTGCTCTCTCTCTTTTTTATATATAAAAACTAAAATATGCTTCATGCAAAAGGTCTCTTGTAAGGTATCATTACAAAGCTTATAATCTACTGTATGGTCATTCTATTTGTATAAATGTATCACTCTTGTATCTGAAACTAGAAATAATATAACTGAGGGCTTATTGTAGTTATGCAAAGTGAGGGCCATTAATGGTGGTTTGGAATCTTGATGGCTCCCATCAACCAGGACAATTTACTGTGGATGGCTATTTGCAGGCAGGCCTTCCTGTGAATCAGGCTGGGAGGAATGAAGGCTTGGGGCCTCAGAGGACATGTGATCATGCCACCTGAAATGGAATCCATCTTTAACCTGGTGCTTTTCCACTGAGAAGGAGGGGTGGGAACCCAAAGGGACAAAGGATTCCGATTCCCACCTTATGCAAAAGATATTTAAGTGGGTGGAACAGAACAAGGTGGGAGCCATCAGGAGGAATCCCCTAGCTACCACCTGAACTGGAACAAGGGCTGTACCAGGGGAAAGGATTGTGCCCAGACTAGGAAGGCATCCAGTCTGCAAAAGAAATTCTTGAAACATCTGAGGGTGAAATTTTACCTGTATTCAGTTTTTATTACTGTACTAGACTTAGACTGGTGTGTTTTATTTTGCTTGGTAATTCACTTTGTTCTGTCTGTTACTACTTGGAACCACTTAAATCCTACTTTCTGTACTTAATAAAATCACTTTTTACTTATTAATTAACTGACAGTATGTATTAATACTTGGGGGCAAACAGCTGTGCATATCTCTCTATCAGTGTTACAGAGGGCAAACAATTTGAGTTTACCCTGTATAAACATTATACAGGGTAAAAACAGATTTATTTGGGGTTTGGACCCCATTAGGAGTTGGGCATCTGAGTATTAAAGACAGGAACACTTCTGTAAGCTGCTTTCAATTGAGCCTACAGCTGTTAGGGGATGTGGTTCAGACCTGGGTCTGGGTTTGCAGCAGGTCAGTGGGCCTGGCTCAAACCAGGGAGGGCACTGAAGTCCTAAGCTGACTGGGCAGGAAAGCAGGGGCAGGAGTAGTCTTGACACATCAAATGGCAACTTCCAGGGGGTTTCTGCGATCCAACCCGATACAGTAAGTAGAGTGTGTTTTCATTTTGTGGAACATTGGTCTACCTTCAATGAGGAGAGGGGACTGTAGAATTTGGATGGCTTCCATCTCAGCAGAAGGGGAACCAATCTTCTTGGAGAAAGGCTGGCTAGACTAGCAACAAAAAGGGTGAAAAGAGGGAACAAATAAGCACTTATTTAGCATAAAAGTGAGGTGATGAGAGCAAAATTAATCAAGACACAAGGACTTAAAGAGAAGAAATTCTTTAATTGCCTATGTACCAGTGCTACGAGCCTGGGTAATAAACAAGAGGAATTGGAACTGCTCATTTCTGAGCATAAGTTTACCCAGTTGGGATTGCTGAACCCTGGGGGGGGGGAAGATTTGCATGATTGGAATGTTAAAATCACTGCTAAAATTCGGGCCATCCTTACCCATATGCAAAGTTGCAGCTGCGTAGGGCACCAGGAACTTTGGGGCTCCAAATTTCCTGGTGCCCTGTGCAGCTGCGTGCTGCTCCAGCCCCTGCTCCAGCTCTTCCCCAGGGCTCCTGCTCCACCCGCTCCTTCCCTGCCCCCACTCCTCTGAGCTCTGCAGCAGGGCCGGGGCTGCACTCACAGCGGCGGGAGTACAGCGACCTGGCCCCAGCTGCGCTGCTAGTGAGTGCTGGTTCCCACCCCCTGACCCCCAAGCCAGCCCTGCCACCCCATGGAGGCCTGGGGCCTGCTCCCCCCCGCAGAAGCCTTGGTCCCCCCCTCACTACATCCATCTGATTATGTCCGGGGAACTAGTCTGGCCGCGGGGTCTCACGCCGCGGTAGAGGCAAAACAGTTACTCGCACCCTGTTGCGGTCCAAATACAAGACAGAACAAGGCTTTAAGCAAGCAAGCAGGCTGGTCTGCTGACGGGCTGGTCTCCTGTCAGCTTTCCACCCTCTCTTTTATTCTTTCTCTCCCCCCATGCATTACATACTCCAACAGATAAAAGGAATACACTGGCTTTGTTTAATATTCTTATTTACCAATATCTATCTACCGCATTCCTTGCTCTTGGGCCTTGAGCCCAGTCCTGGGAGGCTTCCCACGGTTCATGTCCTCTGGGCGAGTTTCCAAGGTTCATGCCCTTGAGAGGAGCCATGTGTGCACTGCTCCTACACAACACTCCGGGTGTGCCCTGAATGTTGCCAAGTGCATGAACCTTGCATGAATGCTACATCCCCTCCTTTTTTGTTTATTTGTGCTCAGCCATCTCATGGTAGCCATCAATTTGCTTTTGCAAGCCAATTAACTCCCGGACAGACAAGGTCATAACTCGTGGAGCCTGCCAGGGCAGGTCTCGACAAAGCCTTAACAAAAAGGAAATACATTGCACACAGCAACAGCAAAAAATAAGTCCAAGAAGGTAAAGTGTAGTTGGCCGGGCCCCAATTAGCCATGCTAGAGTACTGGGAAGAGAGGTTCGCGTAGGCAGCGAGCATCATCTCATTCCCTGTTTCCTCAGGGTGATGACATACTGGAATAAGGCACGTACCTAACAATTCTTCAGCTGCTACAAAATCAAATAAACAAAAGTGGGTAATATTTGCTATTGAAGCCAATCTTTCCCATAGGTTATACGTCATTTGGGCCCGTAATGGAGGAGGCGCTCCCGAGTCAACCCCTACAGGAAATAGTAGGCACATAAGGCACACAATCAATACAGAATTAGCAGTGATTTGGGCGAGAATGGCCACAAACAGAGTCTCAGGAGTCTCTGGCTGTTGGTTTGCTGCCAGTCTTTGTTGAGCCGCGGCGACCAATGCTTTCACTGCTCCCCATGTCACAGGCTGGCTTGGGACGCTACGTCTCCTCCGTCTCGCCATTGTCGACCCGGGAGGCACCGCGTTCTCCTCCAAGGTCAGCTGAAACTCCGGTATGGGGTTCGACAGCCCCTGGTGCCACACCGTGCTGTTTCAGTGCCGGTCGCACACACTGGGCCGGAACCCACAACGGTCCTGCAGAGAGAGACACAGTAGCATATCCCCGACCCCAAGTAATTAAAGGTACTGGGCCCAACCATTGCGGATCGGGCAGCTGACGGTAATAGACACGCGGTCTTTCCAGTACCTCGGACTTATGAAAATGCTGATCCGCGGGGGTCTGCTGATCTGTATTCGGTGTTCAATTATTTAAAGTAAACAAAAGGACATGCAATTGTTGCTGAATGTCTCCTAAGGTTCGGAGACGCAGCTCCCCTTGTTTTAATTGTTTGTCAAGCAAGGTTTTTAGCGTGCTATTTGCACGTTCAACAATGGCTTGGCCTGTGGAATTAAAAGGGATCCCGTGTTTTAGACGGACGTCCCATTGGGCACAAAAGGTGGAGAGGGCTGTGGAGCAATAGGCTGGGGCATTATCCGTTTTTATCTGGCTCTGGCAACCCATAAGAGCAAAACAGGCTAGCAAGTGGTGAATAACTTTGGGAGTGGCTTCCCCACGCTGTGGGGTCGCCCAGAGGAATCCCAAATAGGTATCAATGGAAACATGTAAAAACGAATAGGGGCTGAATTGTGGCACGGGAGTGACATCCAGCTGATTCGCTGCGGTACCTCTGGGGTTAACGGCATAAGAAAAGGTAGGGGCAGCAGCGGCACAGTGGGAGCAGGAATGAACAATAGAATGTGCATGATCAGCAGGAATGTGAAACTGTCGGGCCAAAACAGAGGCAGACTGATGAAAAAAAGAATGGCTTTCAATGGGGTCAGAAAAGAGGGAATTTACCTGACCACGTAATGCACGATCGGCGCGCGCATTGCCTTCAGTAAGTAGCCCAGGCAGAGGGGTATGACTGTGAATATGAGCAACAAAATAAGAAAAATTACAAGTGGTGAGGAGATACTGTAAGGACAAAAACAGGCAAAGAAGGTCCGCATCGACCTGAAGGGTAATGAGGGCAAGGGGTAAATGATCAATTACCTGATAAACATAATGGGTGTCCACAATCAAATTAAAGGGACAATCAGCAAAAAATTGAAAGGCCAAAATAACAGCAGCTAGTTCCGAGCGCTGCACGGAACGCTGGGGCAGTGTAAAACGAGAATGCCAACGAGGGGGGTCACCTAATTGATAGGTGACGACACCACAATGTGGAGAGCCATCAGTAAAAAGAGTGATAGCTGAAACAATAGGTCGAGAGTGGCTAAGACGATGTACGATTAGTGGCACCTTTTGTGTGATCACCAACCGAGGATCTTTTGGGGGATTATAAGAAATCTCTCCCACATAATCACAAAGAGCAACCTGCCAGGCCAAGGAGGTGTGATACAAGAAATCAAATTCACTACGTGATAAGGGAAAACAATGGCAACTAAATCAGTGCCCGTGAGTTGCACTGCACGGTGGCGGGCTTTACGAAAAAGGTCGGACAGGGTGTCTAAATAAGGATAAATGTTCTGAGGAGGAGTGGAAGACAAATATATCCACTCTATGATAGAGACGGCTGTTTCTGTACGAGGTACAAACAGAGCCGCAGTAGGCGTATGAGGGGTGGCAAGGAGAACTAACCGCAGGGGACGAACCTCAGTGAGTCTATCCGCAAACTGCTGACTCAACATTGCATTGATCTGTCGAATGCAGGCAATGTGCTCCTCAGTGATGGCAATAACTGCGCCCGGTGCCCGAGCTCCAGGTAGGAGCTCGAACAACGGCTGCAGCATCGATGTGGGGAGACGGAAATAGGGTCGAATCCGATTTAAATGACCCAAAATTTGTTGTAATTTAACAAGGGTTAGGGGTTGGGATAGGACCACTTCCGGGTGAACAGGGGCAGCATAGGTTTGTAAAACCTTATGCCCGAGATATTGGTAGGGATAAGAGCGTTGGATTTTTTCTGGTGCCACTAACAGGCCATTTTGGCCAAGAATCTGAGACAAATATTCAAGCTGTTGTGCCGTGACCTGGGGACCACTAAGCAAAATATCATCCATATAATGGTAGACCTTTAGTGTGGGGTATTGGGCACGAAAAGGGGCAAGGGCCCGATCCACAAAAAACTGACACAAGGTTGGACTATTTTGCATTCCCTGGGGCAAGAGCTTCCACTGATACCTTTGAGAGGGTCGCTGATTATTATATTCTGGCACCGTAAACACGAATTTTTCGCGATCTTGTGGGCAAAGGGGGATGGTGAAAAAACAATCTTTTAAATCTAACACACAAAGCTGATTGGTTTGAGGAATTAAATTCGGGTTTGGCAACCCAAACTGCAAGGGGCCCATGGGTTAGATGCGTTTATTTATTTCCCTTATATCGTGTAACAGCCGCCATGCACCAGTTTTTTTCTTAATAACGAACACGGGGTGTTCCAGGGACAAGTGGAGCTCTCCAAGCGCTGTGCATGCCAATGTTGTTGCACAAGCGAATGAAGCGCTTTCAGCTTTTCTAGGGGGAGGGGCCACTGGTCAATCCATACGGGCGCTACCATTGGTATGGCAATCCTTAATGCGGAGGGCAAGGTGGGTGGGGTAGGGTTTTGGGCCATTATATATTAATATCAAGGGTGGTGTCCAGCTTTACAAGTAAGTCACGGCCCCAAATATTGAGGTGGACAGGGAGCACAAAAGGGCGGATCGTAGCAAGGGCACGGCCTCCTGGTTTAGAGACCGTGACCCAAGACAAACTTTGGTGCCCGGGTTTGCTACCCCCGATCCCCCACAACTCTTTAGAAGGAACTGTTGGCCAACTGACCGGCCAGTCCTGATCACGAATCACCGTAACATCAGCTCCAGTGTCCACCAGCCCTGTAAAAGGAAAATTATTTAAAAGAAGTGTTAACTGAGGTTTCGAGGGGTGGAGCGACATTGTTAGAGCAACAAGTTGAGAGGACGTGTTGTGAGACAGCAACTGAGACAGATCCAAAGCCGCCTCCGCCCCGGGCTTGATCCTCTGCAGCTGGCACCTGATAGGGGACTAAAATCAATTGTGCAATTGACCGTCCACGCGGGAGCGACTGCGGAAGATGGGTCCACACCTGAACCTTAATAACGCCAGTGTAATCGGCGTCAATGACCTCTGGGATGACAAAAACACCCTGTTTCCCAGCGTGTGAGCGAGGGAGAACCAGACCCACAAATCCGGCAGGGAGAGGTCCCGTCACCTGTGTAGGTATGGCGCAAACCTCCCCTGGCAACTGAAAATCAGCGTCCTCCTGCATAATCAAATCAAGCCCTGCACTTCCGGCAGTCGCTGCCCTCATGAAGTCTATGGATTTTAAGGCAGAGGAACAGTTGTTTGAGTGGGGAACACCCCTGTTTGGTCCTGGGTTAGGGGGGGACCTGTCGAGCGGTTTCCCGACCCGCTACGACACTGATTAGCCCAGTGATAGCCCTTCCGACACTTGGGGCACTTCTTTGAGGGGCGGGCGGGCGCCGTCGATGAGTGGCAGTCCCGCTGAAAGTGACCCTCCTTACCACAGCGATAACAACGCTTCCCCTCCTTCCTGCTTTTCCGCAGGGTGGCGGCCAGAACCCCAGCTTTATGTGCTTGTGTGCCGATGTTTTGGCATGCCCGCAGCATGTCCGACAGCTCTAGAACGCCAGCGGCTTGTGCCGCCTGGAGAGCACGGCGGCAATCCTCGTTCGCATTTTCAACCGCCATTTTTAACAGAATCTCCTGAGCTGCCACAGGGTTATCCATCTGTCGGAGGATAGCCTCCTGCAATCTGTTGGTAAAATCCATAAAGGACTCTAATGCACCCTGACGGATACTGGCAAAGCTTTTGGTAGGCTTGCCTGAATCCGGGACCTTCTGGAAAGCATGCTGGGCGCAGGCAGAAATAATGGGGAAGACGGCCTGCTGGAGTTGAGACTGTATCTGAACGGTAGCAAACGGGCTCTCCCCTGCTAACTGCTCATAAGTGACACCTTGCGCTATATATACCTGGGCTTGGCGTTCCGCCATCTGCCGATACTCACTAAGCCATATAACATACTGACTTGGCATCAGCATCATGCGCAACAGCGCCTTCCAATCTTCAGGGACCAGGGAGTACCCAGTACCTAGCCCTTCAAGGAGACCACGTACATACGTGCTAGTGAGGCCAAACTCGCGAATCGCTTTCTTTACCTCTCTGAACACCGAGTAAGGCAAACTGACGCAGTTTGCAAGCTGGTTGCCCTGGCCATCATTCTGCCAGGTCACCAGGCAAACTGAGACCAGATCAGCTAATTCCTCTGCTGTAAGATCTGGGCGAGTCTTCGCTGCGTGAACCATTTGTTGCACCAGCGAAAGCCCCTGAGCAGACGCGGATGACCCCCCCGGGGGGCCCCGGAGCATGGGGCCCCACGGTGGGATGGTGACCACTCACCGGCTCCAGAGGGGAAGACAAAGGAGGCGGCAGTAATTGACGCACTGGGGGTGAAGCAGGGGGAGGGATGGCTGCAGGAGCGGACGGGGGTGGCGAGATCGGCAGCCCCTCTATTGGCGCGGGAGAGGGTCTTTCCAAGGCAACACGCTGTGTCACATCACCAGGAGGGGGGATGGCTGCAGGAGCGGACGGGAGTGGCGAGATCACCAGCCTCTCTATTGGCGCGAGGGAGGGCTTTTCCGAGGCAACATGCTGTATCGCGTCGCAGCAGAGGTGCCAGGCATGTAAAGCCTGCATGGGCGCCCGAGGCTCTTTGTGCAATGTCTGGCCCAACCGCTCCCAGTCCGCTAGCCTAAGGGTTCCGGCTTCAGGGTACCACGGACATTGGGCACTCACCTCCTGTAGCAGGAGAGTGAGTTCTCGAGAGGGGAAATCATGCTGAGCCTTACGCAGCAAATACTGTAGCTCATTGCGGTGTTGCACTTGCAAAGCAGAGAGGGAGCTTCCCATACTTACCACAACGAAAAATACTCACTGGGATCCGCGAAGCGGATGAGTGACGCGTCTGAGTGCCGGGCGAGGTGAGTGCTGAGGGCCCCACGTTGGGTGCCAGTTGTTGCGGTCCAAATACAAGACAGAACAAGGCTTTAAGCAAGCAAGCAGGCTGGTCTGCCAACGGGCTGGTCTCCTGTCAGCTTTCCACCCTCTCTTTTATTCTTTCTCTCCCCCCGTGCATTACATACTCCAACAGATAAAAGGAATACACTGGCTTTGTTTAATATTCTTATTTACCAATATCTATCTACCGCATTCCTTGCTCTCAGGCCCTGAGCCCAGTCCTGGGAGGCTTCCCAAGGTTCATGTCCTCTGGGCGAGTTTCCAAGGTTCATGCCCTTGAGAGGAGCCGTGTGTGCACTGCTCCTACACAACACTCCGGGTGTGCCCTGAATGTTGCCAAGTGCATGAACCTTGCATGAATGCTACAGCGCCCAGTTGGCAGGCAGTAGCAAGTCCCACACTCCAGTCCTTGGACAGGGCAAACTGTGTTAAGCAATAACCCCAAGCCCTGTGTTAGGGCAGGCAGCAAAGAGTCCGTGGCTCAGGCCCTCAGGCAAGGGCTGAGCAAACAAATAAGCAACAAGCCCAGGCCCTGGGGCAGTGCAGTGTTTGGGACTCAGGCCCTCGGGCAGGGGCTGAGCAAACAAATAAGTTCAGGAGGCCCAGGCCCTGGCTCTGACAGGCCTGGGAGAGGGGGAGACTGCCACCTGCTCACTGGGTGGCAGGGGGGACAGAGGCCCACCCACTCCACTGCATCCCAGCCCAGGGCCCTAGCAGCGGCAGACGGCCTGCTGCTGTGTCAGTGGGGATCCTGGCTGCAAACCACTGACATCGGCTCTGGGTGTGCTGCAGCCAGACTAGATCAGCTGTCCCCAGGTTACTTCCTACCTCCCCCTCTAGAGGTACCTGCGTCTGGATGGTGTCCTCCAAGGAATCAAGCACGATGGGCTCCTCCGGGTACCCAGTGAGCGGTAGGCTTGGTAGCTCCTCTGGGTAGCTTGCCACAGGCAGGCTTAACTGCTTCTCCGGGGTCTGGTCGGCTTCAGGCCTCGGCTGGTCTGGCCAGTCCTTGGGTCAGTCGCCAATTGCCAGTGTCTCCCAACCGGGAGCTAGGCCAGAGATTTCTCTGGCGGCTGAGTCTCTTGTAAGTTCTGGGGTTGGGCTTTTGTACTTCCTGTCCTGGGCCTTGACTTCTGGGGGGTGGGCACAGGCTCCACTGGCTCCCCCCACTTTAGCGTCCAGAGGGGTACGTCCCTCTACGGGGTGGCAGGGAACCACGCTGCCTTGCTACACAGAGTCATAAAAGAGAATCAAAATCACTGTCTGCCTGTGTAAGGGCCTTCTCTCACTGTTTCACTCTGAAACCCTGTTCTTAAGCTAAGGCCTTTGGCTAAACAGTGGGAGCAGCCATAAGCTGGGAAGCGAACGGTCACATCCTCACATTCCAAACTAGTCATATTGAAATAAGGCAATCTGGGGCTGTTAGGAAGGTGATCGGATCTATCACCTCCAGAGAAATGGAAGAGCCTAGAAGATGCAAAAGGAAATTTAGTTTGATAGATTTCTGTTTGGTAAGAACTCACTTATCAACAGACACAGCTGGGAAACCCTTATGTCTTTATAGATGTAGTTGTGAAATCCTCACTTCTGCATTGTTTTGTCATTATAGGTCCCACTTTGTTGTTGTTTGCATGGTTTCTGTCTGGTTCTGTGATTGTTTCTGTCTGCTGTATAATTAATTTTGCTGGGTGCAAATTAATTAAGGTGGTGGGATATAATTGGTTAGCTAATCATGTTACAATATGCCAGGATTGGTTAAGTAAATTTCAGTAAAATTATTGGTGAAGGTAGAGCTGAGAATATTACTACATAAATTAGGGGCAAACAGGACGTAAGTTGGAATTCAAAAATAAGGAAAAAAAACTTGGATTTAAGCTTGCTGGAAGTTCACCCCAATAATCACTGAATTGTTTGCACCTTCAGACTTCGGGTATTGTTGCTCTCTGTTCATTCAAAGAGGACCAGGGAAGCAAGAGGGTGCAGGAATAAGCCCTCAAACAGAAACCACCAAAGGGCACTGTGATGGGCCTGGCACTGCACCGCCCCTTTGTGGCAAGGGTGGGATGGCACGTCGGAACCTCACCACTCCCAAGTCCACGTGCTCGCCTCTCTGTGGGCGGCCCGATGCGGCCTAATGACCTCCCTCCATGCAATCACCCCTTGGTCAGGGCGGTGTGCCCTAACGGCCAAAGTCCATATAAATCGCTCCCAGCATTGGAGCAGTGCAGCCCAATGGCCAGAGTCCATAGAACTCTCCCCTCACAGGTGGGTTAGTGCAGCCTAGTGGCCGGAGTCCATGTAACTCACCCCAAGAGTCAGGGCAGTGTGGCCCAATGGCCAGCGTCCATATAATCACCCCTCTCAGACAGGCTAGAGTCTGTATGATTCCCATGGTGTGCAGGGGTGGTAAGGGGACCCAGGCCTGCCCTCTCCACCAGGTCCCAACCTAGGGCCCTGGTAGTGGCAAGTTCCCCTTACCACGAGCTTGGTGGGGATCCACCAGAAACATGCTGAGCCTCTGTGTGGCTCTAATGCTGTTCTCCTCTAAAGTTCCCCTGGGTCACTTCTCACCGGTCCCTATAACCTCCAGGTTCTCTGAGTAAGGCCTCCTCTGCTCTGTTCTCCTCCTGTGACGTACTCCGGGCATCAGGGTGTGTTCTGGCTTGGCTGACCTCAGATCCTGGAGCTCAGGCTATCCCTCCTTGGGAGCTGGCAGTGTGCCTCCTTCCCCTCTGGCAGTCAGCCCTGACTGAGCAGCTCTGCAGGCTTTTATACTTGTTCTCCAGCTGGAGCATGCCCAGCAGAGCCTCAGGAGCATGGCTTCCTCTGCTATAAAGGAAGGTTTAACCTCTGTGGTACCAGTGTGGGGCCGCTCTGCCCCGTCACAAGCACAAGATGAAATCTATAGCCAGCAGAGTAAAGGGAAAACATTTTTAAAGTATATCTGGAACAAAGGAATCCTAATAATGGTATGAGTCCATTACTAGATGGAAATAATAGAATTATCAATAACACAGAAAAGGCAGAAGTGTTCAATAAATATTTTTGTTTATTTGGGGGGGAAAGCCAGATGATGGAGTCATATGATGATTAAATACTTTCCATTCCAACTATTGGAAGGATGTTACTAAACCTTGAGATTTTTAAATCAGCAGATCCATATAACTTGCATCCAAGAGTTTTAAAAGAGATAGCTGAGGAGCTCTCTGGACAGCTAGTGCTGATTTTCAATAAGTCTTGGAGCACCGGCGAAATTCCAGAGGACTGAAAGAAAGCTAATGTTATGCCAACATTTAAAATGGGCTAACAGGACTACCCATGTAATTACAGTTACCTACCTTTTTGTAACTGTTATCTTCAAGATATGTTGCTCATGTCCATTCCATTCTGTGTGTGCGCACGCCCACGTGCACGGCCGTTGGAGATTTTTGCCATAGGATCGGCAGTGGTGCCCCCTTGAGTGCCACACCTATGTACAGTGTATCAGTATACTAAGCGTCAGTATATCAGGTGCTGCCGGCCCTATGCCCTCTCGGTTCCTTCTTGCTGGCAACTCCGACAGGAGGGCAGGTAATGGAATGGACATGAGCAACACATCTGAAGCACCAGTTACGAAAATGTAGGTGTGATGTTCCCCTCTGGTGTTGTCTGGACCAGTGATCTGCGAGGTCGCTTCAATCCTTGACTCTGGGAACCTGATCTGCTGTGAGAACCCCCACTCCTGGGCTGTACATGCACAGCCTCTGGCATGTAAGCTGCTCCCAGCTATTTACAACCGAATGACACTATCTCCGGTCCCAGACACAACCCTAGGAACCTCCATCTTGCAGTGTCCAGTTATGCCCGCTGGACGCTGCAAGCTTATATGAGTTCATCAATTTAACACAGAAATTGATATGTACCAGGCTTGTTATTCCAAGGGGAGTCTCTGACGCACTTCAAACCAAACACACTGCTTTGGGTAGAATAAACAGATTTATTAACTATAAAGCTAGATTTTAAGTGATTATACGTCAAAACATAAGTCAGATTTGGTCAAATGAAATAAAAGCAAAACACGTTATAAGCTGATCTTAACACTTTCAGTGTCTTTACAAACCTAGATGCTTCTCACCGCAGGCTGGCTGGTTGCTCTTCAGTCAGGCTCTCCCCTTTGATCAGCGCTTCAGTCGCTTGGTATGGTGTCTGTAGATGTAGGTGGAAGAGCATGACAAACATCTGTTCCTTTTATCATGTCCTTTCCTCCCCCTTGGCTTTGCCCCCTCACCCTCCCATTTAGAGTCAGGTGAGCATTACTGAGTCCCTCCAAGCAAGGTTGAGTAACTCCCCTGGTGGGGCCTCACCCAGGTGAGTCATTGCATTGTAGCTTCTTTGCTGGACAATGGCTGTTGATGGGTTGTTTGACATCCCACTTGGGCGTTGGTTACTTTCCTTGCTGTTGCCTCTGGGGAGCTAATAGCTGGCTGATTTTCCCCAATTTACAGCATGTTTTAGTGACAACCATGCTACACAATTCTCATAACTTCATATGCATTAATGATATACATATATGGATATAGAAATGACTTTCAGCAGATCATAACCTTTCCCCAATACCTTACAAAGCATGCTTTATACATAAGATGACGATTATATGAAAATGAGGAATATGGGGGTTACAGCACATTCCCCCAAGAGATAGAATGTCACAGTAGGTAACCATTTTTTCTTTTTCGTGTGCTTGCTCATGTAGATTCCATTCCAGGTGACTCCATTGACACTGCTTATGAGGTGGACTCAGAGTTCATGGTCTTACAGCATGCAGCACTGTTCTGCTGAAGCAAACATCATCGCAAGCCTGCTGGGTAAGTGCATAATGGGACATAAATGGACAGAAAACCACGTAGCAGCTCTGCCGATCCAAGAGATCTGTAATCTGAGCCAGGAAGGCCGCTGATGATCCTTGTGCTCTCCTTGAGTGTGCTGTGACTATTGCTGGTGGAGGTACTTTTGCCAGCTCATAGCAATAGCAGATGCAGGCTGTGATCCAGGACGAAATCCTTTGAGCAGACACTGGGTGACCTTTCATTGTGTGTGCCACTGCAACAAACAGCTGCATTGCAAAATGGCTTTGTCCTGTCAATGTAGAAGGCCAGTGCCCTCTTGACATCTAGGGCGTGCAACCTGCATTCCTCTTCTGATTTATGAGGCTTCGGGAAGAAGACAGGTAAGGATATGTCCTGGTCCGTATGAAACTGGGAAACTACCTTGGGCAGGGATGCCGAGTGTGACCACAGCTGGACCTTATCTTTGTAGAATAGGGCAGTTCTGAAGTAAGCACGCTGATCTTAGACACCCTGCGGGCAGACGTTATCACAACCAGGAATGAAACCTTTCAGGAGACAACGAGAAAAGAACAGGAAGCAAGAGGTTCAAAGGAGGGCCCCATGAGACTCGACATCATGAGGTTCAAGTCCCAGGTAGGGACAGGGTCCTGGACATGAAGGTAAAGACGCTCCAAACCTGAGCGAACACTGACCTGCCTTGGAACAGAGGGTGGAAAGCTGAAATAGCAGCCAGGTGGACCCTTATCAATGTCAGGGACAAGCTTGAGACCTTGAAGTGCAGAAGATAATCCAGGATCACCTGC